AGACGGGTATCGCTCCGGCGTTTCTCATGCGCTCACAAACGGGCGCATCCTTTGTGGCTCTGATACCCTTCCGTGCGGGACATCCGGCCATAAATAACATGCCTTTTATGGAAACACTGTCTTTGCCGGAGAAGGGAATGCCGAGCAATGGCTGGGAATGAATGGACACTCCATTGAGTGGTTCGTTGCCGTGGAGTTCATGTGCGACCCGTTTGTCCACTTCGATGGCATCGATGATCGCCTCGTCGTAGCGCTCGTCGATCACTGCGTTTATGTGCGGCTATTCAGCGATCAATTGATATAAAAATCACTTAATATTGTTTACGACATTTCATTCGTCAATATAATAATGTCTTTATGTTTGCAATAATAAGGAAAATATCTATTTCTTGAAAGTAAATTTGTTTTCAATAAAATGCAATTATTTCCTCATTTGAAATATTATGCAAAATATATTGTTTCTGATATTCATATCAATCGTAAATACAATTAATGCATAAAAACAGGCCTGAATTTAATGACAATTAATTTAAAGTATAATTTTAAATATAAATATAACACTAATCTAATCACACAATCGATTAACAAATAATAAATACCTGAACTGTTTTGATGCGATCGATGTATGCTTTGACTAAAACTTCACTTTTTAACTATAATTAAATGCAAAAAAAAACAAATAATTTGATTAATATTTAAAAATATAATACATAAGACAATCGATGGCAATACTTGTCCGGTTTTGATCCGTTTGACTAAATCGACCGCCGGTTCCAACAGTAGTCTATCATTAATCGGTGGTAAGTATTGTTGTTTCGATGGATATAATAAACCAATAAATTTGACAAATATATCCAATAGCGTACGTATGGATCGTTTCGTATAAAAGCCAATTGAAGGCATTTTATAAATTGTTTGCCCTTTTTGTAAACTCTGTTCAAAAATAATGCAAATTGTGATCAAAATTTACTCAAAATAAAACTTATTTTCAGTTCAAACACGACTTTGAAGTATAAAAAACTTGATTTGAGAGCTGTTTGAAAATGTAGTTTCCTTTGACTGATAAAAACCACTATCAGTAGTGATTTGAGGCAATGTTTTGACTATAATTATGTAATTTTCATGACTTTAATGTATTTTTGCATTCAATTGCTTTGAAAAATATGACCTTTATTTCCAGTAGTGGAGTAAATGCTATTGTTTTTACTGTTTAAATAAAATGATAGCATAATAAATACATAAAAATGTTGACGTTTAAAACTAGTTAATTTAAATCAGGTATAATAATGAACATGTTACATGTATAATGAGCGCCGGCTCATTTAAACCCCGGGGCAACTGTCCATCACGCTATTACACATGCACTTAAAATGCACATGCACTTTTTAGCTACATTTAATCTAATATAACTTGATTTAACATTGAAACATGGGAAATATGTTAAATATTTATAGTAAATCTATTATTAAATTAATGAGATATGGAATTAAAAAAATGTTATATTTTAATCATTAAGTAAACATGCTTTTGTAATCATGATCAATTGATAAACTACTAAATAAATATTACTATAAGATCATCCCATAAGCGGATCCATTCTTAATGGATTGTCAATCAATATAAACCAATTATGAGTTCATATAAATTAATTATAATCAAAATGAGTTTCAAATTAAATATAAATATGTATACAATTTTGCGATAATACTATCCAAACAAGTGTTTCATATGATTACTATTGAAAACATAACAGTATTTATGATTTGAAACATCATTTAATTATACAAACAATACAACAGAATATTCATTGAAAACTAAGCGCAAGAATTTGAAGCAGAAATACGAGAGAGAAATGAGAGAAAAGAGCAAAAAGAAAATCATTGAATGAATCATACAATCAGTGCTTGAGTTTCATTGAAAACACTTATTCATCAGAAAAGACGACAAAATAATTACAAACAAAATACAAACAAAACTTCAAAAACATTCATTCAATGCTAAATGAATAGGTGTTGTCATAATAAACAGCGCAACCGTTTGTATGGTATGCACAACACAAACACATTCACTACAATACCTGTGCCAATACGCTCGCATACCTGCGCCCCTCAACAGTAATACAACACCCCTTCAACTGCCATAACCTGTGCTATGCTATGGTATGTCTGTGTAAAGTGCAGTAGTGTTTGGCAAACGTTTTATATGTTGTCTTCACTAATGATCACTCTATGAGAGACACACCTATTGTTATGCCATTCAAAATGCATTGCATTTTCATTTCACGAAACTAATTGTGAGATATTTTTTACAATCAGTTTTATTATGATTTGTATTATTAATCACTGATTAAAACTTATTAATAATTATGTGATTATAATAGTTGTGTTTTAAGTTTTTTTATACACTATTTATAATCAAAGGATTATATTTTTAATCCCAAATACAATGTGTCTATAAATC